ACGCATGAATTTCCCCTTGCTGAATCAGCTCTCCTTGTTTTGTGTTTCTATCTCCGGGGACGTCTTCCACGCCTTGCTCTCCGGTTGCCATGCCATGGAGAGCTTATACATCGTGAGAGTTCGTGCTCCGGGTTGCCTGCGTGTTAGCTCTCAGACTCTTAGGAGCATCTGCATCCGTGGTAGATATGGTGAAAAAATAGAATTGGTCGTCGAGGATGCTCCTCACCTTGAAAGGTTACTATTCCCTTATTGTGAGCGGCACGCTTGTACTATGATTATTCGGATAGTTAGGGCGCCTAAATTGGAGATATTGGGCCCTTTCTCGCCGGACTTCTTCAAAATAGGGATCTTCCAGGTCACAGTAACACCCAGCCTTCGGCATTCCTACATACAGTTAACTTTTTTTTCACTTACATTGTTTGTTTTCTTCAGGGAATGAGCCTAGTCAGCTCGGCAAATTCAGTATCCCCTGTGAAGGTTTTGGCCCTTGGGTGTTCTAATGATTATCAATTGAGCGCAGTTATTGACGTCCTCAGGTGGTTCCCTTGTTTGGAAAAGCTCTATGTCACTATGAGTATTCCACTCTGCTTCCTTTAAATCATGCTTTGGTTGATGCATTATCTAGCCAAGTTAGTAATGCTTTAACATATGCCTCTTTTTTCCTTTTGTAGTTTCATGTACACTATAAGAAGTATGAGCAATTTGAGCCTCAGTATGACCCATTACATCCAATCGAATGCCTTCAAAGTTCAAACCCATCTAAGAAAAGTGGTGCTGAATTTACACATGGACCATGAGCAACACTCTGACTTCGCCAGATTCTTTGTTTCAAATGCAAGAGTACTAAACTAATTTGAAATTAAAAGATATGGTGACTACAGCAATAAATCAGTGGCCCGTCAGCACAGGTTGCTAGCTTCTCAAGATGCTCAATTTGATTCTAGAAACACTCGTTCTTGTATTGATAACCATGTCAGCAAGCGTATCCATGATTTGTCAGTGGCCGACCCCTTCAGACAGCCATAGACAGGGTCGATGGCTGAAGATTGCACCGTCTTGTGCTCATTTTGGTAATGGGGTTGATGCAAAAAGAGTTCATTGCTGAAATGCTCTAATGTGGAGGGATAAATAAAGATTACTGCCGAAAGTTGTAACTTGAATGGAGCTGGTAACGCCATCCGCCGAATCTCCTTTGAACCTGCACAGTTGTGTCCTTTCTTCTGCCTGAGCTGGTCTAGAAACACATGCTTCCTGGAGACTTGGCTGCCTATTCAGTTATTATATACAGAAGTATGAAAAGTTCCGTTGCTGATTAGATTTCTTTGCATATACATAGCATCTGTATGATGCTTAGGAAAGCTCAATCTGTGTCTGCTGCCGTGTTCAAGTTTGAGAGAAGGGCTAAAAGCTGCAATATTCATCATGTCTCTGCCTGCAGCCGAAACATGCTTAGGTTGCCTACTAGTTGATCTCTCAATGTGTCTCTGCCTGAAGCTGAAATGAAACTGATTGCATCCTTGTACACATTTGCAAGTGATTTTTCTAACATCGCCGTTTTGGGCCGATGGCCTGAAAATAGTATGTGTTGGCTTTTTGCCACGAATCATGGTGTAACACTGCTTCCTAACTTGTTTTCTGCATTACTGCCAGAAGTAGTACTCCTAAACATCGTTGTAACCAGGTTTTTTTATGCATCCTTATCACTGTGCATGGGGTATCCTAGATTCTTAAGTAAAAGAGGCTTGAGATCCTGAACAAAAGTCAGCAGTTTTTGATGGAATGAACGACTGTTTGTTGGTGGACATGTATATATCTTTCCCATGGACATGAAAGAATCAGCGGGAAAATTTGCGACTTGTTCTGGAGCTTTCATGAATTAGTAGCACAAGAAAACGTTTCCAGGCCACAAGTATTCAAAGTATATATTTGTGGCATGGATAAGAACAAGATATATACTTGTGTCTTTAGTGATACTATGGGTGCTTAGGAGGGGCTAGCGCCTCTTTGGTTAAAAGGATTTTCAAAGGAATTTTTTAGGATTCAAATTCATAGGTTTTTTTTTCACTTAAGAGTCCATTCGGTTCAAAGGAACACACCGTCCAAATTTGATATGGATTGCTTCCCTACACCGAAGGCCTCTTTGGTTCACAATTTTCCTTTTTGGGTGGAGGAACGGAGAACTTTAGAGTGCCTCATCGTATTGCAGTCGAGTCATACAGCATGGTAAAATAGGGCGCAGAAAATCTGAGCACCATAGTTTCGAGACCGCCACAGATGCATCCGACTCCAAGATCTCAGGGACCTGCGCCAGGCTGAAACGAGCTTTCAGCTTCTTCAACATCAGCATATTGCCTACCTAGTTTTGTCATGTCAGATTCTCAACTTCTTCCTCCAAGAATATAGTGTTGTGACTATGGATCTAATTTTCACGCTCACATCATTAAGGGTGTTGTCCCAGAAGTGAGATTTTCAAGCCACATCAATCTCACTAGTTAGGGAGTTGTTTCTCTGCCACATGGATTCATATCTTGGGAATGTGTCTTATACAGATTGCCTTTGAACGAATTTTGCTCCTTGCCAAGAAGAGGTCCTTACTGCATGGGCCGGCCCAGACGGGGATTCCCCTTTGTGAGACGTTTTTTATCACTTGGTGGCACTGGTGTGGGTAACATTTTGCGATTTGGGGGCAATTTCCGTGACGTACCGCAAGAAGCAATAGCCCTTTTATTATTAGGTATAGAAGAATGTTTCTATACATGAGGTCGTTGTTGCAGAGATATGATACACCCGGTGGGAGCGACAACAACTGGCCCCATTGAGAAGCTATACAAGGGAGGAGAGGTTAGCAATTGTCATACGAATAACAGCCACAAACTGGAGAAGGAAAGAACTGAGAGGAGAGGATGGTACAAGCTGCAAGAAGGGCTAACCAAACTGAACATTGACGCGGCCTTCTACACGGATGGACTAAACTGCATGCCTGATGCCATGACGTGGGGAAGCGCGCGCACTAAAAGAAACATCTTGTTGTCGACACATGTCATGACTGTGCCCCTGGACCTCACTAGTCAGGCAGCCTAGGAGGTGGGACCACTGGTCAGTGAAGCAAGCGTCGAGGCCAGCACTGCCACTGCGTCGACTGATGCCTCCAAGAATATATATATATATATATATAGTGTGTGTGTGTGTGTGTGTGTGTGTGTGAGAGAGAGAGAGAGAGAGAGAGCTATTGAGGCCAGAGAGGGCCAGTTGTAAGGGTATCGAGCAAGACATTGAACCGAACCGGAGAGAACTTGTTCTTCCTCCATTCTTATCATCTCTCTCGCTGCCTCTACTCCCAACTCCTCTCCCTTTCACCACATCTTCCTTGTGAGCAGATCGGCCCGTAACGACACATTAAGCAGGTGTGTAGAGAATGACCGTGGGGTCCGATTGCATGGTCTTGGTCGAGGCAATGCCCCAGGGGTGATTCTCATCGACTCCAACGGCTGCAACTTTGCTTGTAATGTAATATCTTATTAGATGGTCTTAAGGACAACTTTTGCCCACTATCTAGCGAAGAAAACCAGGTAATGGACCAGCTAAAATGGGATCCGATTCACCAGGCGTCTGGTTGGATAAGCCTCATCCTCTCTGTAGTGCTTACCTATAGATGTATTTTTTGTTTAAGCAAAATACACTTTTCTAGGTTTGAAACAAAATTGTGCCACAACAATTGTAAAAAAATGTATTTTGGGGGTTGCGAAAGGAAAAATATAAAGAGCGGCACACGCGTCCACAGGTCCACTACTGACCAGCTAGGATTACGTCATTGATGAGCTAGGATAGCGTTGTTGATGCGCACGACAGCTGGCAGCCATAGGCAAATGAGGAAAGTGGGTATGGATTGCCAATTTGGGCGGTGGGGGGTCGCTAATAAATAGCTCTCCATCCCAGATCCCGATCTCACTGATCCATTCCCCGGCGTCGCTAAAATCGTCTGTCGTCTCTCTAGCCGCCGGCCATGGAGGATGAGGCACTTACACTTACACTCTGGTGGCCCGACCAGCCAGAATCCCATAGAATTACCGTCTACGATGAGATCGCGAGTGATTTCATCTACACGCTCCCCGATGCCATCCTCCGAACCATCATCTCCCTCCTCCCCACCAAGGACAGTGGACGCATGTCGGCCCTCTCCCCCCGATGGCGCCAACTCTGGCGCTCCACACCCCTCAATCTTGAGGTCCGCAACCCACCCGGTGGTTACCCCGTCTCCACCTCTGCCATCACCCCCGCCGCCGTCTCCAAGATAATTTCCCAACACCCTGTCCCCATCCGTCGATTCTCCTTCCAGTGCTTCCTGGAAGGCGACTTATACACCCAGTTGGAGAGTTGGTTCCACTCCCAAGCCCTCGCCAGCCTCCAAGAGCTCGATATCAACTACCAGTGCCCCCATCAATGTTCTGAGCCAAGAAACACGCTGCCACCATCCGTGTTCCACTCTGCATCCACCCTCCTCGCTACCAAGTTCAGCTATTGTGATTTCCCTGATGAGATCTTGCCTTCCATGAACTTTCCCCTCCTCAAGCAACTATCCTTGGTGGACGTTACCATCTCATGGGAGGTCTTCCATAGACTGCTCTCTGGATGCCATGCCTTGGAGAGTTTTTACATGTCCGAAGTTTGTGGCAAGGGATGCCTTCGTGTTAGCTCACGGACTCTTAGAAGTATTGGTGTCCGCAATGCCTTTAAAGAAAAATCAGAGCTGGTGATTGAGGACGCCCCTTGCCTTGTAAGGGTACTATTACCTTTTAGTTGCTACGATGATGATTGTGTTACTATGAGGGTAATTTGGGCGCCTAAACTAGAGATATTGGGCCCTTTGTTACCTGTAGCCTCCAAGCTCGTCGCCCAGGTAACAGCAACAACATCCTCTGATATTACATTTGTCATTTGTATACGCAGATAATTTTTGTTTATGTTCATTGTACGTTTATCTTCACGGAATAAGCCCAGTTATGTCAGCAAACTGGATGCGCACCGCGAAGGTTTTTTGCCTCAGGTCTTCTGGCCTTGAATTGAACGCAGTTCTTAACATCCTTAGGTGGTTTCCTTATCTAGAAAAGCTCTACATCATTGTGAGTACTCATCTTTGCTTGCTTTGAATGTTTGATTTGGTTGACAAATTATCTAGTCTAGTTTGCAACAGCTTTAACATATACCTCTTATTTCCAATTTTACAGTTTCAAAAACACAATGAGAAGGATAAGAAAAATGACCCTCAATATGACCCTTTACATCCAATCGAATGTCTTCAGACCCATCTCAAAAAAGTGGTGTTTAAGTCATTCGTAGGCTATGAGAAACAGGTTAACTTTGCGAGGTTCTTTGTTTTGCATGCAAAAGTGCTCAAAAAGGTTGAATTTGAAGTATATGGCCAGTGCAACACTATATCAGTGGCTTATCATCACACGCTGCTAAAAGTGGAAAACAGAGCTACTCGAGATGCTCAGTTTGAATTCAGGAGTAAACATCGTCGTACTGAGTATGATGCACATATCCATGATTTGTCCGTGGCCGACCCCTTCGGACAACCATAGACAGGGTTGATGCCTGAAGGTTGCACAGTCTTAGTGTCTTGTGTTCATTTGAAGACAAAGTTGATGCCTGAAGATTACATCGTCTGTCATTCCAGTACCTATGAAGTTACCCCTGTTAAAACTGCAAAAGATGATTTTGGATTCAAATAATAGTGCACTGCAGAGAGGTTGAAATGGTCTGTAACCAGTAGGGAGCGGTAACCCCTATTACCTTGTGAATTTGTGGCTTTGTTCTGCTTATGGTGGTCTAGAAACACATGCATGTATTGGAAACTTAATTGTCGTTTCAGTTATATACAGAAATATCTGCAGTTTATTTGCTGGTTTGATTTTTCGCTTATGTGTGACATTGTTCGATGCTTAGGAAAGGCCAACCTGTAGGTTCGGCCCCCTATGCTTTCCTAGCTAGGAAGGAAACGTGTCTGTAAATTTCTAGGTGCATATTGAAGTTTGGCTAATGATCCTGAACAGCTAGCCTGGGGAAGTTTGGCTAATGTCTCTCGGGTGCTGCCGGAACATTCTGTGGTTGCCTACTAGTTGATCTGTCAGTAAAGGTTGAATTTAGTGAAATGAAATTGGATCCATCCTTGTACAAATTTGTAATTAATTTTACTAATGCTGTCGTATTGGGATAATTATGGACTTGGAAATAGTGTTGGCTTTTCGGCAGGATCCAGGTGTATACTGCCTCATAACCTGTTTTCAACATTACTACCACTAGATAAGTGGTAATTCTGAAATATCTTTGTTGCTTTCAAAACCTTTGGTTATTTAACATTTACTTGTTGGACTTTTGTCACTGTATATGGGGTACCCATACTTACATAAGAGAGGCTTGAGATACTGAACATATGTGGACAGTTTCGACGGAATTGGTCGCATTTCGTTACCAGCCATACGTATCTCTTTTCATGGACATGAAAGAATCAGAAAGAAACATGTTGTTGGCTTGCTGTGTGCATAGCAGTTTTTGTAGCTTCTTCTGCATCTGTGGTATGACTGCCTAGTGCCTACACAACACGGAAGAACCTACAGCAAGCAAGTCATTTCTGCATCTCAGCTAGATACCTGCAGAGCAACCAATGTCATCAGTCAAACCATTTTTTGTAATAATCATTCATTGAAAAGCCATATTCAAGTAGTAGACATTATCTTCATCACTGTATAAATTTTGCCAAAAGCTCAAAAGCTGAACCATCTCAGCATTATTAGACAAAAATCAACGTTATAAACAGAGAACATCAATAAGACAACAGTCAATTTGCAGTGGCACACCTTTGACGATAAAGGGTTTCCCCTGCTTTATATATAACGCAAACGACCGATACATCCAGCTGGCTGGGGCCACAGCACAAATAAGCCCAAAAGGAAAAAACAAGAAGAAAAAAAGAGAAATTAATGCCGACACCGGCAGGTCAATGGAGAAAGGAAGCCCGGCAACCGCTGCACCCTCCGAAGAAGTACCACCATGCTTCCAGCATCCCGAATCGCTGTGCACCAAGCAACACCATCAAGAAGGGATGAGACGGCATCACCGTTGTTGCCCGAAAATGTTCTAGGGTTTCCCCTGGTACACGGGGGATAGTGGGGAAGGGATACACCCGACGCCCCTCAGGAAGGACCAACGGCACCCGCAGGCATCACCGTGTCGGTGCCGAACAAGCCGACAGGGATTTCTCCCAATCCATGACCACCACCACCACCACCCCAGGCACTTCGAAATGCAGCATCCCATCAGCCGCCCACCATCCTGTGCCACCACAGCTACCGGACAACTCTCGCTGCCTCACTGGAGCTGCCAACATGAAACCTGGAGAGGGAAAGGAGACACCGGCCACGGGAGTGAGCACAACTCGACCAGGAGGGGACAACCTCCATCGCCGCAGCGTAGCCGACCGGACGCGGCGACGAGGAATTGCCGGGCCCCGACGGCCCAGCCGGGTCCAAGTGGACCCGGACAGTCCTGCCACCACACTGCAGCTCTCCGACCGACAAAGGCCTCACCGCCTGCAGACCGCCGCCACCTCTCCACCACTAGGAAGTGCCGCCGCCAAACGCCAAGCCACCGGCCCGCCCCAACCCATATGAGGTCCAAATGGGCCCAGATCTGGGATGGGCGGGTGCCGCCAGCCACCAGCACCATCGTGCCGCCCCACGGCCAACGGCCGCACCGGCGCGTCGAGAGCTACCGCGGCACGCAGCAGCACCACCGCCAGGCCACACCAACACTGGCCGAAGAGCACCGCCGCCAGCCACCAACGCCCGAGCAGAGGAGGCGCGACGCGCGGGGAAAGGCAGTGCCGCCGCCGCCAGCACCACGCGGGCAGGGCCCGGCGATGGGGGGAGGGGAAGGGAGGGGTGGGGATGGGGGTGATGAGGCGGGGGGAGGGCAAGTGGCGGCGGGTGCCGGCCGCGGAGGCGGCGACGCGCGGCTGGGGAGCCGGCGGCTGCGCGGGGAACCCTAGGAGAGCGGGAGCGGGCTCTTTTTTTTCTGATGGTGGCTGGTTCAGTGGCACACCTTTCAAGTTCTATTGTTATGATG